TTTTGTCCGTTTTACAAAAATTATGTAAGCAGAACAGTTATGCCCTTTGGTTTACGTATTGCGCATGTGTTTTGGGTAATAGTTGAGAGATTGTATGGCCCACCAAGTCTAAAATACTATCTGGCCCTTTATAGAAAATGCTTGGTGACTCCTGATATACTCAAAGTAAACCATTCCAGTTTGGAACATTGTGGTTTTCCTTGTTAAGAATTGGTAAGGAGGGGCCCTTCCTGGTGGTGAAACATGTTAAAAATTAGCACTCTGAAGCTACTGCAGCCACTGCAGCGCAAGTTCAAACCTGAGTTTGATTTTGACCAGGGAGGTGACCTACATGGTGCAGCGGACCTCTCCTGTCTAGCCGGATGCTCCCCTCAGCAGTATTGCTTCCTCAGTCTTCCTGTTCTGCTCCCTCCTGTCTCTGGCGAATCCTCTTACTACACTCTGCACCTCTGGCCTATACCCCAGTTCTTTATAAGCATAAATAAATCTTTTTTTAAAAATCCAAACACTGCTTAAATAATGGGATTTTAGCCAGTTTGTTAACTTCTCTGAACATGTTCACTTTTTGAGACAAAACACAATCGGCTAGTTGTTCTGAGGGTTAAAATATGCAAGTGCTGGCCCTCCCTGGTGAGGCAGTGGGTTAAAGCACAGCACTGAGAAGCTAAAGCCACTTCCGCATGAGTTCGATTCCCGCCTGCCCCGGAGGTGACTATATGGCGTGGCAGACCTCTCCTGAACCGCCCACTGCTCCCCTCAGCAGTGTACTTCGCCGATCTGCCTGTTCTGCTCCCCACTCTGTCTCTGGTGAAGCCTCTCGCTGCCCCTGAGCCTCTGGCCTGTACCCCAGCTCTGTATGCACAAATAAATAAATCTTTTTAAAAAAAATATGCAAGTGCTTTGCACAGAACCTGGCAAAGCCATCCAATACATCAAATAAGTTAATATTGTCCATTTAAAAATTCCTTTGTGGCAAAATTAAATCCATAATCAGAAAAACCTGGCAAAGGATAAACATTAATTATAACAATTATATATTATTTGACATATTTCAATAGTAGGGTTAATGAAATATGCACCAGGGGCGGCCCCTCCCTGGTGGCACAACGGGTTAGGACACAGCACTCACTGCAAGCCAGCTGCAGCCACCTCAGTTAGTTTGATCCTGCCCTGGAGGTGATCCACATGGGGCAGCAGACCTCTCCTGTCTCACCTGCTACTGGCCTCACCAGTGTGTTTCATCTGCCTCTTCTGCTCCCCACCCTGACTGGTGAATTCTCGCACCGCCCCTGCACCTCTGGCCTGTATCCCAGTTCTCTATTAATAAATAAATCTTTTAAAAATAAACCCACTAGGACAATTACATTAATTCTGTAATTTGGAAGAATTTGTAGCTTTATGTTGTTCAGTAGTTTTCTCACTCTGGAATATGGCACTACTAACCAGTATGACTCAGGATTTAAATAAGAATTGAAATGATTTTTCCAATGGTTTCACAAGTGCCTGAGGAGGAGTTTTCAGAATACAGAAAATCTATATTCTCAGATTCACAATGCATATAACCCTTTAGACAGAGTGGTTTTTAGTAACTCATGTGACTGTACTTCAGTCATATACACCACATTTCAGTTTCTAGATCTCTTAAGTTTCTGGCATGAAGTTTTTGGATACACCTGTTATTTTATGTACTAACAAAGTTTTGCCCATTTAAGTATGAAACCAAATCTAAATTTATATCATTTGGCATATTCCATTTCAGATATTAAAATATTTCTCAAAATGCACCCTAGATGAAATAGAAATGTACATTTTCACTTTGGTATAAGCTTATATGATTCATATATTCACATTTTGGAAATTGCTGCCTACTTGCTAAATATTAACTCCAAAAGCAACATGTGTCACCTTTGTAGTCATACAAGAACTTACAGCACAACAAAAATTTTGTCATCTGTGCACGTTCCTAGAAGTTTAATGAAGCAACATTGCCTTGTTTCAACTTTTATACTATAAACAAATGCCCTTTCCATGTTCTATTATGAGCCCCAATTATTTTGTATTTTGAAACTCTTTGATGGTTATCATTTAAATTGTCTTCTAGGTGTAGAGTTGTCTATTGTTCCTAAGTACAAGATTGCTGTGTTGATCTTTAGAGAAAATACACGTATTAGAAAAGTTTCACTCATTTGAGTTACATAGTGCTGTTGGTCATGAATTGAATGTAAATAAAACAAACAGAAAAACACATAATGCAAGTTATATATAGGAAAGTTGATGTTAACACCTACAGTCTTTGATATTGTTAATTATAATCTCATTTCTAAACTGAATCTCCTATCATATACCAACCTTACCCAATACATGAACTACCAAATAAGTTTAAAATGATTAGGGCTGGGTTGGATGAATCTATAGGTTTGGATGAATCTATAGGAACACCAACATGTTCCTATATAGGAACTAGTAAAGGTGCAACATTTCCTTTTTATAAGTTTATCTTATTTTTTGAGCCCACAAGAATTTTCACATCAACTAATAAACGATATTAGACATACTTTTCTATTGATGTTTTAATTGGAATCTCTAGAAAATGTCTGCTATTGGTTTAAAGTGAATTTGAAGTATCTTCCAGTTTAGCTTTTCAGGAGCAAGTGCTGTTCCTCTAAAATGTCATTCTCACATTTATTACAGAGGATCATGTGAATTTTCTGTGAACATTATTTCAAACTACTAAGCTATGATTGCATTAACTAGTGTAATTATAATAGGTTATGATAGGAAACTTGATTTTTCTATTATTTTACTTAGTTTAATTTAAAATTAAATTTTACATATAAAACCTTAAGCATTAAAGCTATCAAATGTGTGCAGAAAAAAAAAATGTAGCACAAAGACCTTATCATTTTTTAAGAGGTTAGATTAAACGTTCTTTTAGTCTATTAGCTTCTATTGCAGTGGTGTGTCCTGTATAATGGCAAAGAATTCTTTATAGTTTTTTCACTAAAATTAAATGCTTAAGTTTTTTCTACATAAAATTAATATTAACCTTGTGACATAAACTCAGTCTAGTGCCCCTGAAGTTCAGTCTTACTTTTAAGCTTTTTTACTAGTTTCCACTTAAGTATCTAAATTCCAAAACTTTCAAAACATAGTTAAAATCTGTTATATGGGTATTTGAGTTAAAATCAAAATGGATTGCTAATATATACTGCTTTTAAATCAGTCAAGATAGGGGCCTCCCCGGTGGCTCAATGGGTTAAAACACACAGCACTATGAAATTGTCTGCAGCTATTACAGCACAAGCTTGATCCCCTGCCAGGGAGGTGACTCACATGGCATAGACCTTTCCTGTCTCACCTGCTGCCGTGGTCAGCAGTGTCAATTTGCCTATTCTGTTCCCCACTTTGTCTCTGGTGAGTACTCTCACCCCAATTCTTGCATGCATAAACAAATCTTTAAAATAAGACCTCTGGTCTGTACCCCAATTCTTGCATGCATAAATAATTAAAATAAATAAGTCAAAATAATATAAGGTACTCCATCATCTAAATATTCACAATTTGCAAGTACATTATCAATGTTAGACTTTGTTTCTCTTTTACCCTATAAACTTCATGGAGGCTGTAATCAACTTATGTTTATTCACTGCTATTGCAAGGTTATAATTGTTTGCCTGCTTCAATTTCCTCTCTACCTTGATATGTTCCTTGCCTTCTATTTGGTTCAATTAATAGGATCATCAATAGATGAGACACATTCACCATACAAAAACTTGCTACTTCTCAATTTATGGAACTCTCACAGATTTTAAATCTTTTATGTAACAATCTACAGAAAATTTCCTTATTTAAAAAATGAACTGCATACTACATGATGAAACAAAGATACAGATTTAGCCTTTCCCCCTCAAAGTTAAAAATCTGTACTAACAATTGGAATGAATCCTTCATTTGCTTTCACATGAAGTTTTCTTTCCTTTTACTTTATAAGGGCTCCTTGATAGGGAGGGAAGTGCATTGGACTATGGTGATGGCACACAGGTGATATGGTGATAGAAAGCCATGGAGATTACAACTGAGATGGAAAAAAGCATAAAATGATGTAAAAATAAACTATTATAGGGCCCTCCCTGGTGGCGCAGCGGGTTAAAGCACAGTACTGAGAATCTGAAGCCACTTCCGCATGAGTTCGATTCCCGCCTGCAGCCTGCCCCGGAGGAGACCACATGGCGAGCCAGACCTCTCCTGGCCCGCCCGCTGCTCCCCTCAGCGGTGTACTTCGTAGATCTGCCTGTTCTGCTCCCCACTCTGTCTCTGGTGAAGCCTCTCACCGCCCCTGAGCCTCTGGCCTGTACCCCAGTTCTGTATGCACAAATAAATAAATAAATCTTTAAAAAAAAAAAAAAAAAGAACAAGGAAAATACTCAATAAAGGGACCACTAAGGGGTACTTACACACTGACAGGTTTCAACACTGAAACCTGATGAGGGATGATCTAGTGAATTATACAGTGAATTTCTGCAGTTTCAACTCAGGATACTATAAAACTGTTTTATTGATAACCTATTTTAAAAAATGAACAAAAAATACATTACAGTGACCACAAAACCAATGGCTCCTGAATTAAAAGATGAAAATAACCTCTTACTAGGTATCCAAGTCTCCACAGAGTAAAACTCTGGAAAGGACAATCAATTTAGACCCCATTCCATAGGACTTTAGTTTCTGAAGTACCAAACATAGCTACTTCACTTGTAGGCAGGTTCCACAGAACTGAATCAAAACAAAATGCACATTTAACACACATTTAGTAAAAAGGTATATATTCTCTACATGTTAATACAGGAAACTTTTTAGCCCCCAAAATTTAAAGCCTGATAGATGAATGGAGTTATTCTAGGGCTGCCTAATAGTAATGCTCAACTCTTACTGTGTTAATACCAGTAATATAAACATGTACTATTAAAATTTAATTTGATATAGTCAATAGACAACTGTGCCCTACATTTCTGTTTATTAAAAACTGACATAAACAAACAAAACCTGTACAAAAAATATTTCAAATCATTTGTCACTTTGAAACAGTAATCTTGAGTGATATTATCGCCTAGGACCCCCTCTTCCTCTGCCCCGACCACGTCCTCTTCCTCTTCCTCTTCCTCGGCCTCTTCCTGCAACTGAGGGAAGAGAAAAACAAAGATAAATTCTCTTCTGCACAGAATTAACTGACCACCACAAACAGCATCTATAGTAAATAACCTTTTAACTCAGCCACCCTTCTCAACACACTGTCACACAGAACCAAGAACTGCTGGACTATAGAGATTTTACTGTAGTGTTTGTTTCATTTGAATTTATTTACTGAGAAATTCATCAAGCTTTAGAACAATTTATTTTCTTTGTATTATGTCTCAAATTCATCACAAAAGAAATGCAAGTGATTTGAATTTCACACAGGTGGAAAAGGTATCCAAGCAAATTAATTCAAACTCAAAAAAGTTGAAAATACACTAAAGGTGTGGTGCAAAGGGTTAAAACACAGCACTATGAAGCTCTTTGCAGTCACTGAAGTATAAGTTTGATTCCCGGCTGGTAGACTTCTCCTGTCTCACTTCAGCAGTGCTTCCCTCACTTCTCCTGCTTCCCTCAGCAGTGTGTCTCAGTATATCTGCCTATTCTGCTACCCACACTGTCTCTGGTGAATCCTCTCACCCTCATACCTCTAGCCTGTACCCCAGTTGTTATATGCATAAAAATATATACTAAATCATATAACAACCATATGACTCCTCAGACCAAGTAAAGTTTGATCTAATCACAACTGAGTACTTAAACCACAAAGGAATATCTCTGATACCTAGCCATCCTAACTCTACAAAAACTCATTTCCCAAATGAATTTACTTTATCTCCAGCTATGACTATCTAAAAAACCTTGACATGGAGCCCAGTTCAATCATATCTAAATTTCTTTAACTGATCTTAGTCTTATCATTCAAACCCATAAAGTCGGGACCTCCTTGGTGGCCTAGGGGTAAGTCTCAATGTTATCACCTCTACAGCCTCAGTTCAATCTCAGGCCAGGGAGCCAACCCATGTATGACACAGCAGACCTCTCCTGTCTCACCTACTGCTCCCCTTCACACTTTGCAAAGCAAATAAACTATTTCCTGACAGCTAAGAGGAAAGGTAAAATAAAACTAAAGACATTTAAAAAGCACAAAGGTTTCAGATTTGGAAAGACTTGCAAAGTGGATAGCAGCAAGAGGAACAGAGCATAAGATGATTAAATCAATATTATTTAAGCTACAGGCTGCAACCAGAAATGGGGGGGAATTCCAGGCACTATTTTTCAGGTTTGGGGAAAAAAAACCACATAAATGTATGCTTTACATAAAATTATCACAGAATATTATTACAAGGCTGAAGAAATGTCTCAGAAAACAGAATAGACAAAGAACAGTAAGAGTAAAGATAAAATGTAAAATCAGGCAGAAGAGCCAATCATCCCACTCAATGTAGGGGGGAGAAGGAGGACAAGCAAATATTTTATGCTAAGTCACGAAAAAATTTCAGAATTTCAGAAATAGAGTTAATGCCCAATTCTTCCATAGCACAGGAATTGGGGGACAAGGACATGCACAAAGAGACAGAAGTAAAAACAGTACCAGTCTCTTTATTAGCAACAGTGGTAACTATAATAGCATGCACACTCATAGCAAGTACAGGCAATTTAAAAAGAAAACACAAACCTGTGCTGTTCACAAATGCTTATATTCTGAATAGTGGATTAGGATGAAGCACACAATTCACAAAACCATTTATAATCCTTCAAACTTACCAGCTTCCCTTTTCTTAGATTTCACCTTTGGTTCAACATCCACAAGTAGTGTATCCAAAGGTAAGCTGTCTGGCAGAATAAAATATCGAATGTTATTTCCTCGAATACTCAGTGTTTCCAGCTGTACAGGTTCTCTGTTCTTCAGGGTCATTTTCACGGCTTTAAGATGTGTATTCATGCTGACATCGACACCTAAAGGGAAGAAAGAGGACAATAATTAGTATAAAAGAATTACTTACTAAGCCACAGCAGGCACCACCATACAAATGTAGTCTGTTTTGCCATAGTATACAAGTTTCTATGACAGAATTTAGTGCAACTGGTTAACAGGGGAATAGTATCAGTAAAATCTGAAACCTGTCAGATTTTCCTTAGCCATGGTAATGTTTTGTTATTATTTATGTTTATAGACGTGTATGCAATAAGCCACAAAGGAACTCTACCCAGTACATGTGCTATATTTCAACTGTCCCTATACCTCAAGATTGGCAGTGCTATTGCACGGGCCCCACTGTCTCCATAACTTCCTTAGACTAAAATTCAACCAGGCTATCTTCAAATTGTTTTTAAAATGAAATTGTCCTCAAGACAAGGAGTTTAGCAGGTCCTTTTAACTGTGCTTTAAAAAAAGAAAAAGGGTTGTTACTGTTTTTGATTACCAAAGTTTTGAATAGTATGTCTCAAATGAATTTTTCCCTTTAAAGCCATTACTTTTTTTTTTTTTAAGATTTAGTTTTATTTATTTATGCACACAAGAAATGGGGTGTAGGCTAGTGGTGCAGAGGTTAGAGGATTCAACAGAGACAGACTGCGGAACAGAATAGGCGGATCAATGTGGGTCAGCTCCCTGTCCAGGGATGCAGAGGCTGGTGATAGTTCAACAGAACTGAGACTTAACACCTGTAACCTGTACCACCAAGGAGGTCCCTAAAACCATTATTTTAAAAATAAGATCTTATAAAATAAAAGCAAGGTTTTCTAAGATGAATATATTGCATTGCAATAGAAGTACTTACTGGAGTATTCCAGTACTGAAGACTACCACAAATAGGTAAATGAAATAACCAATTATTTTCTGTCTACAGAAAGTTAAACCAGAATAAAGGAAGTATCTCAATTTTCCTAATATTGATCTCAAACTTCCTGGCATTATTAATCTTTTTCTTCTTCCTCCATATTCTGTCCCCAAATTAACACACTTTTGATGCCATTCCATGTTCTTGAGGACCTTAATCCATGCCGAGGGGGAAAAAAGTGAGCACTTTGTATGCTCCAGAAACTACATACTTATATCCTTATAGGAGAACAGTATTGATTATCCCTACTGTGAGGATGAAAATAAATGTATAATAGAATTTATTCATATAAAAGAAATCTTCAACAGTGATTCTGGTGGAGGGAATTTAACTTACTAGATTTTATTCCCTCAAGTTACTGAAATTGTCCCCTGGGACATAACTTATTGTCTGAATTTATGTTTTAAAATTTTAGAAATTTACAGTTAAAATATTTTAGAGGATCAAAAGAGCATTATCTTTCATTTGCCTCATTTATTCTTTGTAAATTTTGAAGAGGAACAACTATCATAACTGTCAAATCACAATTTTAAATGGAAAATGAACATTTTATACAGCATCATTTATTTAAAAAAAAGAGGGGAGGAGACAAAGAAGAAAAAAGATGCAAAGGAAATATTCCAAAATGCTAGGCTACTAGTGACTGTCTCGGTTAGATGAAATCCCACGACTATTTTTTTTTTAAACCAAAGATTAAAAAAAAGATATGGAATACATCCTCTATTTTCTTGAAGACTTCAGAATTTTAATAGGGAAACAAAATTTCAATAAAAATAAAATGTATATTCTGTAAGATGCAACATTTCAGAGACACACACAGGCAAAAGCATAAAAGCAGAAAAACAGTTGTGTACAGCATAGCAGGGAATCTAGACCGGTTGCAGTACATGTACTAAAGTGAGGTTTTTATGAAGATAATAAAGTAGTCCAGACAAAAATTATGATATCTACACTATGACAATATTCATTAAGAATTCTGACGTGCCGGTAGAAGAGACTCCTCTCCCTCAAACCATTTTAAAGCAATCCAACCTCTATACCTGTGATTGTTCCATGGACCTGTGTTCCATTCTTTAATTCGATGGTTACAGTTTCATGACTCAATTTCATCAAAAATCTAGAAAAAAATAGAATTAAAATAATTTTCACCTTTTAACACACTTAATCATATTAAAACCAACAGGGAATTTCTAAATGGCAAAAATCTGCTATAGTCATTATCTGTACCAATACCTACAATCTGCATAATTTTCAGCTTTCTCTGAATTATACCCTCAACATTTATGAAGGTGCAACAACAGACACTATCATTTGGACATTTTTGATTCTCCAAATCATTCTGTAACCTCCAATTCATGCATAGAGATACCAAGTCACTGTATACCACTATAATGAAGTAAAAAAAAATTACATGGGTAAAGATGGTCAAAAGATACAAACTGCCAGTTTAAAGGTAAATAAATATTGGGGTTGTAAAGTACAACGTGGTGATTGTAATTAACCTGGTAGATGGTATATTTGAAAGCAGCTGAGAACTGATCCTAAAAGTTCTCATTACGGCCCTCCCTGGTGGCGCAGCGGGTTAAAGCACAGCACTAAGAAGCTACAGTCACTTCCGCATGAGTTCGATCTCCGCCTGTCCGGGAGGTGACCACATGGCGCGGCAGACCTCTCCTGAGCTGCTCCCCTCAGCAGTGTACTTTGTCAGTCTGTTTGTTCTGCTCCCCACTTTGTCTCTGGTGAATCCTATCACCCTCCACATCTCTGGCCTGTACCCCAGTTCTGTAGGAATAAATAATCTTTAAAAAAAAAAAAGTTTACATTACAAGGACCCTCCTACACTTATTTGTATGAGATGATAGATGCTAACTAAATTTACTCTGGTAAATAATTTTGCAATGTAGGTAAATCAAGTCATCATGCTGTACAGCTCAAACTTACACAATACTGTATGTCAAGTATTATATTAATAAAGCTGAAAAAATTGATATTCATAAACATTTAAGCCTTAAAAAAAAAAATATATTTATGCACACAAGAGGAAAACTGGGGTGTAAGCCAGAGGTGCAGAGAGTGGGGAGAAGATTCACCAGAGACAGAGTGGGGAGCAGAACAGGTGGATATACTGAAACACACTGCTGAGGGGAGCAGCGGACAGGTCAGGAGAGGTCTGCGTGCATTGTGGATCACTCCCTGCCGGGGTATCGAACTCTTGACATGCTGCAGTGGCTGCAATAGCTTCATAGTGCTGTTTTAAACCGTTGCGCCACCAGAGAGGGCCCCATAAAAATGTAATTCTTACTTAGCAGTTTATACAGTTACATGTTCATACACACACACACTTATATACATATAAATAGCTATTACAAATCCATTTATGTACACCCTCACCAATACTGCTCCTAATCCTCTGAAATTTTATCAATTTAACAGGGTAAGAAAAGGTAATTGTCTTTCCCTCTTGTGAGGTTGAATATCTTCTCATAAAGGAAATCTGTATTTCTTCTATGAATTACCTACTCATAAGATATACACAACTTATAGTAGGTCAAAAATTTCTGTAATTTTATATCAGGTTACATTCAAGTTTGTGGCTTTTAGTGACAATGTCTTTCATTTTTGTTAATTTGTCTAAGATAAACAATTAATATAGCAAGATGTTTCCCACCACAAGATTATAAAGTCTTTGTATACCCGTATCACACTAAATTTGGTGAAACATGTAGCATAATGTATTTTTCTTCCCATTAGACTGGGATTGAAGATGAGGATAATTATACCTTTATATCTAGTTCTGGAATGTAAGAGGTACTGAGTAAAATTGGCTGAAATGTTTCAATGATTAAAAAGAAGTCAGTCTTAAAATACCACTTTTAGCAGTATAGACAATAATAAAAATGTAGAAGTTACTGGATCTCCAGCTTATCATGTCCCAAACTTTTTAAAGCTCTTCTGTCAGCAATACAGATTTACATGTTGAACTGCTCTTCATATTTGCTTTTAAGAAGAAAAGCGATCACTCAATAAACTTGGTAATTTTTGTTTCTCCTGACAAAAATTCTTTTGCCCCAGTTCCCCAAAATTCTTTACCTTTCCTTTCATTATATGTATCTTTTGTCATGTTCAGTAATAACTTGCTTTTACAAAAGCTCTCTGAAATCATTTTTGGAAACAGGAAGGATAAACATCAGAACAAAACATCAAATGGAAGTGAAAAGAAAATGAGGGGGTCAAGTGGAGAAAGAGAGAGAAACAAATGACAGACAGTAAAGGCCTCTGAAATCATCAAAATACATTTCAGAAAGCCCAAAGATATTTCTTTGATAAAAAATATTTACCACTACATGTTATATACCCTGTTCTAGAAAGGAGTATTAAAAATTAGTTCTCAAGGAACTCTAACTCTAGTAGGAAAAACACAAAAGGTATTTTAAAAATAACTAAATAGTAAAATGCAACAGAGATACACAGGTTTTTATCAGGAACATAATATAATGTAGCTCAGGAAGCAGAAGTCAGATCTTAGTGGACTTCAGGAAGAAGTGTGAAAAGTTGTAAAAACAAAGCAACGAGAGGTAACAGTAAAGACACAGTAACAAAAAAATAGCACAAGGCACAGAAAAATTACAGATATTACAAATGAAATAATATTAAGTACAAGAATATGGATAGGGAAGAGTAGGTTCTTCATGGGAAAAGTCCCATACTGTTAAATAATTCCTCTGAGAGAATTATTATGGAAAGGTTTTCACCAATGAAATGGAATGTAAGCATGGTATTCATATTTTAAATAGAACTGGGGCAAATGTTCAGAAAGACAGATTTTGTAGACGAAAGTACAATCTCCAAGAAGACAAGTTAGAGTCTAAAGCAATAATATATAGGTATGTTACAGAGATCAAGTCATAAGAACTACAAAGCATAAATGAAATTAAATTGTCTGGAAAGAGAATGACATTTATAGTTGATTTGCAAGGAACTCCAAACATACAAAACAAACTAATGATGAAACCTAAAATAGAAGGCATAACCTTTAGTCAAAATTACTAAAAATCCACACAGGAAAAAAATGAACATGAACTCCTAGCCTACGCCAATTAGCAAGTCAATTAAAGACAGTTCACAGCTCTAAACATAGACATCAAAAAAAAATTTTTTTAAGTTAAAATTATAAGATTATTTAGGAAATAAGTAAAGCGTAAACTGGGAGAATACCTGAAAGAAATTAGTATCCAACCAAGAATAAATAATTCTACAACTAAGTAATAAAAAGAAATAACACATCAAAACAAAAATACCTTACGCAGTGAAAAGCAATTTACATTTCCTGATTTTGAGAAATTTATACACCTGTGACCCAAATCCCTATCAAGACTTGGATTGTCCATAAGTGACATTAGTCACTAGGAAAAATGAAAATTAAGTCAATGAAGAGACTACCAAAGAAACATAAGTGGCTAAAATTAAACAAATTTTTTTAAAATTTATTTATTTATTTATTCATACAGAACTGGGGTACAGGCCAGAGATGTGGAGGGTGAGAGGATTCACCAGGGACAGAGTGGGGAGCAGAACAGGAGATTGAAGAAGTACACTGCTGAGGGGAGCAGCGGGCTGGTCAGGAGAGGTCTGCCGCACCATGTGGTCACCTCCGGGGCAGGCAGGGATCGAACTCACATGGAGGTTGCTTAAGCTTCTTAGTGCTGTGCTTAACCCACTGCGCCACCAGGGAGGGCCAAATTAAACAAATTTTAATTTTACAAACAATTGCAGGTGAAAGGGTGAAGCAACTGCAATTCTAGTATACTGCTGGTGTAACTGTAAAGTGTAAATTTACTTTGAACCTTTCAAACCACTCTGAAAAATAACCTAGCAGTTTCATATGAAACTAAACAGATTATGGTATCATCCAGCAACTTAACTCCTAAGGATTTACCCAAGCTTAAAAAAGAAAGAAAAAAAATCCACCAGAGTATAAGGGTGCCCAATAATGCAGACTTGACAATTCGACCCAACAGGCAAGAAACAGGGTCAGTATTTATACATGTTGATTTGGTTATTAGAAACCCTCTGATCCTGGGAGGGGCGCCCAGATTATAATGGAGGACTGCTGGTTCTTTGGTGGTGGGCGTGATGTGGTATAAGACACTTGAAGAGATATGAACCTATACTCCTAAAATAAAGTGCTGTAAACCAAAGTTAACGCAATAAATTAATTTAATTACGGGAGAAACAAATCAAAACTGCTGCTCTTATGTACTAGATTTCCAGTCTCAAGGAAAAAACAGTAAAATCAAGACTATCTGAGGCTACTTTTTAATTACTTCAAATGAGTAAATGAAGTACTCAGTAGGCTCAACTAACCAAGTTTAAGCACAACAAATAATACGGAGAATAATCAATGATCTGTGTAGCCAACCATAAAAAAGGAAGTGAATATACCCCATGTCTGGAGATTTTTCCCCCTAAATCAATGGTCCCTTTAAACGTATGTACGTTAAATATCTTAAATCTAGGAAACAGGAAACCCAATTTATTAAATCTGAAGTCCATCCCCAACTGAAAACATTCCAAGTGGGTTGTATTACTTCCAGATAAAATTCCTGCCGCTTCTATGTACGCTTTCGTGCCCATTCTGCAGTTTAAATGAAGCCTAACAACTCCATTACAAAAATGAGCCATTAATTTAGACTAATTACACGGGGGCAAACCACTTTTCTTAAAGATTCCCACGTTTTCAAGGAACTGGACCTAGGTATATAGCGATTTCTGGAAGCTTAGGGGGGCCAGAAAAGAAACCTAATTTAGAGGACGAGTTCTACTCGAAATGAAAATCGGTAACTGACCGAAAGTAAGAAATCGAAGACTGACGCTGCACATTCAAAGCCTCTAAGACATTAGGCGGGAAGAAACGCCTTCGTATCTACCTCTTGGAGGACATGCGGAACCCCGATGAGGCAGTCTGGGGCCCAGACCAAGCGCAGGCGCCGCCAAGATGGGGCGGGAGTGGCGGGCGCCGGAGGCCGTTAGCAGGCCGCGCACGCACGCGGCTTTCGCGCCTCTAGCTACGGAGACAACCCGGCCTACAGTCCCCGGCCCGAAGCGTCCCTTCTCAGCCATCACTCGGCTAGGAACCTCCTCACCTCACGAGCTTCATCCTAGCGGCGCCGTCACACTTTTCCACTGATAATGCACAAAATTGGACTGCCGAGGACCACCCGAGCGGAGTATGAATGGCCGGAAACGCCTACTCTGGTACCCCGACGTAAAGAGCGCGCAGAGCGCTGCGGACGCAAGGAGGAAATGCCTAGGCCGCGCTGGTCAGACTGGCTTCCGGTCGCGACTGGCCCGACAGCGGCCCCGGGCGGCTGGAGGTGCTCCTTGCGGCTGCGGAGGACGTCTCAGGAAATTTCTGGTCTGCAAATTTTGAAATTAAGTGGAACTGGTAGACCGTCGCCCTCGCGTTTCGTCACGACAGGGCGCCAGCACTTAATATACTCAGGAACGAAGAGAAGCCCGAAAGATTGTACTAATTCGGCTCCAACATCAGGAACAGCCCCATTACATAATAGACCAAAGAAAATCACACAATTTGATGCTTATTTTTACTTTAAATTTTGACCAAAGATCTCAAATAGGAATACTGCATTGTCCAAAGATCGCGCTAGCCTTCTCTAGTAAGTTCACAAACTATTTCGTACCTTCATTCTTCTTTTCCTCTCAAACCTTTTCTGCTTTCTGTACTTTCACAAAGCTAGAAGTATTGTTGCACATTTCAAAGGCAAATTGCTCTTCGTTGTAGTTTGGATTCCATCTCTAATTTTCTCAAGAATTCACTCCTTAAGATGTTCTTCTGTCATCTGAATGTCACTCGCCCCTGCCACTGGCTTCTTCATTATACAAATTCATCTTTAACTTTTGATTCGGCTTCAGTTAATGTCAATCTTAAGTGAACTGTTTAGTTACTTTTTCACTTCCACCTCCTTCAAATTACTATGAAATTGCTTTTTCAAAGAAGTCATCAAAACCCCCTAAAAAAAAACTTCTATTTTCATCTTATTCAACAATTTAGCAACATTAGACATAAACACTCCCTTTTGAAAGGCCCTCCTCTCTGAGCTTCCACAAAATCAGAATACCTGATTTATTCCTACCTCATTTGCTACTGTTTCTAAGTCTCCTTAGCTTTCTCACCCTCCACAGAGCCTTTCCATGATGAGCTTACTATAGAGGTAGTGTCCTTGTGTATACTTTTTCCTTTAATCTAGATGAGCTCCAACACCATGACTTCAATTTTTATCTTCAGGCTGACCCTCATGACTGATGATCAGATCTCTTGGAAGTTGGTAAGGTGATGTTCATCACACTTAACTAAGCATAGGACTCAACTATATTTTGAAGGTCTGCATTTCTAATAAGCCTTTGACTTATAAGGATATCCCAAGGCTATGGACACAATTTGAGTAGTAAGACTATAATGGACATTGTGTGAAGCCTTGAAAAAATTTACTTTCATGTCTTCTCAACTGTTCCCTAATTATCTCTTGCTTGTTTGTGTGGTCCTAAGGAATTAATTGTAATCTTCAAATCAATCATCACATTCCACTACTTGTCCATGGTATACTTGGGATTTAAACTGATCTAATCAGAACTTTACAGGGAATACTTTTTCATTTTGGATATAAATGGAAGGATATAACTCCCTAAGAACCAAGTAAAGAGTCAGTTTTAGAACTGTTAAAAAAATAGAAAAAACAGGGGCCTTCCTGGTGGCACAGGGTCCTCCCTGGTGGCGTAGGGGTTAAAGACACAGTACTATTATTGGGCCCTCTGTGGTGGTGCAACAGGTTAGGACACAGCACTGCAAGTAAATTGCAGCCACTTTAGTGTGAGTTCCATACTGGCCCTGAAGATGATCCACATGGTGTGGCAGACCTCTCCTGACTTGCTCACTGCTCCCCTCAGCAGTGTATTTCATCAATCTGCATGTTGTATTCCCCACTTTGTCTCTGGTGAATCCTCTCACCACTCCTGCACCTCTAGCTTGTATCCCAGGTCTGTTTGCATAAATAAATAAATCTTAAAAAAAAAAAAAAGAAGACACAGCACTCTCAAACTACTGCCAGCCTCGTATGGCACCAGGTTTGATCCCCCAGTCAGTAAGGGAGTTGGCACACATGGCACAGCAGACCTCTCCTGTCTTGCCCATTACTTCCCTCAGCAGTGTATTTCAGTCAATCTTACTGTTCTGCTTCCCACTCCCTCTGGTGCATTATCTCACCCCCCCAAACCTCTGGTCTGTACCCCAGCTCTTGTATGCATGGATAAAAACATTTCGGGGTAATAGCCATATGCATCTATTGCTACACTTTTGGACAGTGCAGTTTAGAACATTTCCTACATAACAGAACATTTTATTAGTGCTATTGTGTTTATTGCCATTCCTTTACACTTTTTAATTATTTAACAAGAGGCTGTAATCTATATGAAGGCAGGGAATTATGTGTTCTGTTCACTGCTGCATTCTCCTCATCTAGAATAGTACCATGTATATAATGTGTCCTTGGTAAATATTTGTGAGATAACAATGTCCCACATTAGACCTTCTGCATATTGTTCATTGCACTGTTCCTAGTACCAAGCATAGGTAGTTCTCTCTACTACCTTCAAGGTTTTCTAGTCTCTACCTACCTCTTAATTGCTTTCCCCTCAATGGTATTAAAATATTTGCATTATTGCAACTCATAAAGCTCACTTTCCTAGATTTTTGTTCACTTGGTTTTTTCTCTAGCTAATACCTACCTATTCATTCCTCTTCAAGTATATGGGGCCAGTATCACTACTTGCATATATTACTCAATAGATAGCTGGAGGTCTCCCAGAATATGGGAAGTTAAAATTTTATTGTTTGTTAATTTATACCAAAAAACAAAAAGAAGAAAATTCTAGCTTGAAATGTTAGCACTTTATAATTTGTATTTTGTTATTTTAGCATAAAACTGTCAAGAATCCTGAAATAAGTCAATAAGAGTGGAGCAACAACAACAAAAATACTATTTATTGCTAGCAAGAAGGACAGTCTAAAAGTGAAAGTATCCTGTGTTATGGGAATTAGCAGAGGTTTTAGTGATAACAGGTGTTTAGATTGATCTCAAGAAAGAAAAGGAGAAAAAAGGAAAAAGAACAAGGAAATAAAAATGTGGTATGTGGGGCAATACAACTATTCCATTACCACTTTTTAGGAGACGTCCTGATGATAAACAAGTGTAGAAAAGTACATTTTGCAGTTTGGAGTCAGCAACTAAAAAAAAAAAAAAAATTAAGCAACCCCCTGAGATTTCACAATTTTGAGTTTTGCAAGAGAACTAGTACATAGATGTTGGGTTTTGAAAAATACCTTCTCAATTTACATAACTGTAATGTTGAATATTAAGATGTATCATTTGGCACTTGTTTCTAGCTTGTTCGTATGACAAAAGCAGAACTATTTCAGAGCTCTCCCCAGGACTTTTAGGTATTTCTTTTTGCAGTTCTCTGCTAGGTTATATAATCTTTGCCATGTTGTCAGGAGAACCTATATGAGATTAAGCCAATGTAGATAAAAGAATAGCTGGACATTTTAGCAATAGTGTCCTGCTGACATTATCTGAACTTCAGGTTTCAGCATGTCTTGAAGTCAGCTGATACCTGATGGTTACCAGTTATGGTAACAATAATTTTCTTTTTTGTTTATATTAGTTTAGCTGGATTTCAGACATTTTCAGACTTGACTTCAGATTGCCACATGCTAATCTTTCTTTAATATCTTCCTATTTTATCTGAGAACTACTTTTTTTATTATGACAAGTTCCCTTCTGAAGTAAAACTTGTTTTTCTTTCGATTATAAACTATACTCCTCTACCAGTTAAACAAGAGGTTTCTTATTGACGATTATTTGCAAAACCCCAAATCTTTAATCTCTCTTGCATGTGGCTGAAAATCTAGCCAAGTAGGATATCTATTCAATTAATTATAATTTTAGATTTAGTAGACAACCAAATTAAATGAACTAACTTCCAAGTTCATAGAGACTGTTCTAAAAGAAAACCAGTAAAGGCAAAATAAATTTTGTCAAACAGATTACAGAATAATTAAAATTTAATCAAACTGCAAAGTGAGACTCTAGTATTAATGAATCAGAATCATTTATCTTTCAAGATGGTAAAGAATGCTCAAGATACTTATTTTTTTCCCAGAAAAGCAAGCTATTTTTTTTAAAGATTTATTTATTTATTCGTACAGTACAGGCCAGAGATGCAGAGGGTGAGAGAATTCACCAGACAGAGTGAGGAGCAGAACAGGCAGATCGACGAAGTACACTGCGAGGGGAGCAGCGGGCGGGCCAGGAGAGGTCTGCCTTGCCATGTGGATCTCCTCCGGGGCAAGCAGGGATTGAACTCATGCGGAAGTGGCTTAAGCTTCTTAGTCCTGCACTTTAACCTGCTGCGCCACCAGGGAGGGCCCAAAGGCAAGCTATTTTTTAAAATTTACTTTTATTGAGCTATAATTTACATTTAACATTATATAAGTCTAAGGTAAACGGTGTGTTAGTTTGATACATTTATATATTGCAATATGATTACCACAGTAGCTAACGAGTATTTAAATCACATGATTATCTCTTGTGTGTGTGTGGTGAGAACAATTAAGATACAGAAGTTTATAATACAGTATTGAAAATCAAATTTACATACTTTGTTGGCACATTTAAGAAGCTCACTGTAAAACTTTAGAAGCAAAATGTGGAATAAATTGCAGACACGATTATAAATCAAATATAATTTACTCACGTTTAAAACATGGTCTAACATTTGTTAAGTATCCCCTATGCTCCCTATAGGAACCAATAATACAACAGATAAAGTGGAATAGGTCACTCAGAAGTCTGTTTTGTGGGACTGGAAACTTGCAAATATGGCCAGAATTTAAAATGCTAAAGGTAAAGTTGTTTATAGAACTGAAAGAAATTCCCCAGCTGTCTGAATAATCTAAAGGTGGAGGCAAACATAGGTCAGATACTCTGATGAATAACCAGCTTTAACTACGTAGGCAGCCTATTCTTGGGCAGGAAGGGGAGAATCCAATTTAAGCCATTATATTTGGGACCAGAGATGAAGGTCGGGTGTGGGCAATAGCCTTATTACCCATCCATAGCTCTCATTTTGGTTTTTATATCAGAGACTTTTGCCAGCTAAGTTGTGGAAAATGTCAGAAAAACACCAGGCCTGACAACAGTGCTCATTTTGGTTTCAAAATACTTAGTTTCAAAAATAAAAGGCAGGAAAGGAAGAACCTATCTATCATAACCTCTCAGGTTCTCAAAGGCAAGTATGCCCAATTATCCATTCGCAGTTCTGCAAATAAGAACAGCATAGAAAGCATGTATAGAAGCATGGTGGAAACCTCGAACGGTAGTGACAGAATTCTGAACCTATCTTTAGAGGCTTAGAAGAGTCAAGGCTTCACTTCAACACCTGCCCTGGCTAAAGCTAGTATAGCATTTTACAATTTCTTGTTGACTCATGCTCCCATAGTCAGAGGAAAGTGCAAGGAACAGGTGAAGCTCTGCATATTTTTGGAGGCGCTGGAGTGCATTCGAGGGGAAGGAGAGGAAATGGTCAACTGTCTCCCCTTTACTTTACACTAGACACGTCTAAGATGAAAGGTATTGGACTAGAGGTAGCAGAGACTAGTACTCGAAACTGACAGGCGAATCCGTGGTGACGGATCCGAGACAAATCACCTCCGCTGGGAGTAAAGGTGGCTTTATTCCAAAAGATGACCCGGAAAGGCAAGCGGTCGCCGCCAGGAGGCGCCGTCGCTTCCCCGCGAGGCGCCCACCCGCGGTGCGCACACGCGAGGCCTCCCACCGCGCCTGCGCTAGGGATGGAAGCTGGCTCGCCTTTCCCCGACGCCGAGCGGTCCCGGCCAGGGTGCAAAACTGCGTGACACGCAGCGAGCGTGGCGGCCATCTTCGTCTTCTGGGCACGTCAGCTGAGCCGGTAAGGGCTGAAGAGGAGCGTTGCGCAAGCGCGCCCCAGACGGTCACAGGTAACTCCCATCTGACGGGCGAGGCGTCGCCGTCGTCGCCGGAAGTTTAGCGTTTCTGCGCCGCGGGAGAGGCGGCGGTCGCGGCAGAAGCAGCTGAATGTCTCCTGGTACCCGGATGTGAGGCAATTCGCTGGCTCGCCTTGGACCCTCTGCCAGGAGTGGGGAAGGTACGCGAGAGTGCTCAGCGTCCCCGCCGCCTGCTGTCGCGCCGCCTGGGTCCTCATCTCCGTTTTGCCAGCCCCTCGGGTCGCCGGACGGCTTTTCCCCCTTCCTGTCCCACCCTCTGCACGCCTCTTCCTATTTCCCTGGTTCGGGCTCAGGAGCGCCTGGGAGGGAGTGGGCGGCTTGCAGACGCCGTCGCCTGACGGAGGCAACAACGTGCGCATCTCGGCCCGCCCAGTCGCTGCACCACCTGCCGCTACTTGCGGGGCGGTCAGAGGTAATCAGAGGCCATGGCCGCGGAAGGGTCGGGTCGGGGTTCCCTAGGTGGCCGCGAGGTCTTCCAGAGCCCTAAGGTGGGGTGGAGCCATTGCTACTGCCGGGGTGGGTCGGCGTTGGCCGCGCAGGTAGCTCCAGGCCTTGTCCCCGCCCCCGGCGTCTTGCCCCCTGGCGTTTCCCGGGAGTCACCTCCTCCAGCCCACTCGGAGCTGCGGTTCTTGCAGCTTGATCGCCTGCCGGCGCCGCCACCCGCCGCTGCAGCCCGAACCCCGAGGCCTCTGCCCTCTGTGGGGCGGCGTTTAGGAATCTTGGTTTTCGCCTTTACCCGGTGAGGGGGAGCGGCGGCTTGGGTCCAAGGTCATGCGGTAATTTGGGTCTGGGCACCAGTAGAACGCTCTGGAGTAGAAACGAGTGCACGGAAGGCTAGAGTGAATTTTATAGTGATGTGAACAGAGGGGATTTTTAATCACAAATCGTGAGATTTTCTTTTTCCCAGCGGAGGTTTGTTTCCGGCAGAATAGGGTAACAAGTACCCAAATTAGAGAACTTGTCTACCTCACCTTCCACTCCCTCCTACCTTTATCTCCTTACCCACCCCTCCACCCTCCCAAAAAAGTTGAGTTCTGAAAACCCACCTTTGTGTTCCTTTCCGGGAAATGGGGGTGCAGCGGAGGAGAAAGGGATTAAAGCGTTGAGATTTGACAAGTATCACATACCATGTTTTCTGTGGACTTTAGATAGCTGAAATGGAGCGTCCCTCCCCCCCAACAGGAAGTAATTGCAGCACACAACGTTTTAATATTATTAGATGTTATTTCAGTAAATGAAAAACCCTTGCAGAAATCCAAAATAATGCCGCTTAGTGGAATGTTAGATATGGGTGGGTTTTCTTTTTTCCCCTCTCCTAATCATTAATTTTTAAATAACCCGTGTAAAACACGAAATTCAGTTTAATACTCTCCGGTTTCTGTGAACTGCTATATTCAGCCCGAGATTTAATTAGGTCCATAGTATCTACTTTTACACAGAACATCAACATCAATAGCACTTTTTTTTTTTTTTTAAAGATTTATTTATTTGTGCATACAGAACTGGGGTACAGGCCAGAGGCTCAGGGGCGGTGAGAGGCTTCACCAGAGACAGAGTGGGGAACAGAACAGGCAGATCAGCGAAGTACACTGCTGAGGGGAGCAGCGGGCGGGTCAGGAGAGGTCTGCCGCGCCATGTGGTCACCTCCAGGGCAGGCGGGAATTGAACTCATGCGGAAGCGGCTTTGGATTCTCAGTGCAGTGCTTTAACCCGCTGCGCCACCAGGGAGGGCCCCAATAGCACTTTTTAATTTGAAAAAAAATTAAACCTCACTACCTAGATACTAGTGGAATTAGAGTGGGGTGCAAGCTGCTTAGTTTGGAAGCTGCAAAAACACCCCTTCTGTCAGCCATGTGACTTTGGAAGTACGGGGGTCTATACCAAATTTGATCTGGCTTCCAAACTGCTTCTCTCCATCTTCATTATTCTTGGTTGAGGAAAAATAAGCTATTACTTCACCTTGCTCAGTCAGTACTACAAATCAAATGATGTATACATAAGAACTGAAAAAGAACCTTTATTAATGAATGCCATCTATCCCCTTTGCTGGGTGATGCTTTCAGTTAGGTAATTTACTACGGCACGAAAGTGATTGTATTTATTCTGGTAATGCACTTCAAAATAGCGGATTGATATTTTTTTCTGTATTCATTCCTAAGGTAGTTAAATAATTTTTCATAGCTTATTGACTGATTTATGATCCACACAGATTTCTTTCAGTAACAGCTACTGAAAGTGACTAGAAATTTAGATGGTAGTTAGAATTCTAGTAAAATGGTTAATCATAGGTAATTCATATAATGACTATGTTAACCCCTTTGCGATCAAGGGTTTACATTTTCCTGTGTATCCTCTTTGTTTTGAACAATGAAACATTTTTGGCTGTATTCTGCCTAATTTCTGTATTACAATTATATTGGTATAGTTAATTTTTGGCAAATATATCATTCTGTCAATGTTACCATCCTGTCTTTTCTTTCTAGATGTTACACTAATTGCATTACAGTATATCTGAAGAAAGCAAAATTTATGTCCCCTGCTTTCTTCAACTTTAAATATTTTTGTTAGGGTATGTGAGATTTACAGATAAAAACATTGTAAAAATTAATATTAAATATTTTATGTAGTGGTTCTCAGATGTTTGGTCAAGATCCCACTACACTCTTCAAAATAATAGAAATTCAAAATAGGTTTTGTTTGTATGAGTTTTATATAGTGATATAGTTATTTTATTAAAAATTAAGTGTATTGATTAAAGGTAGTAAGCTATAGGCTAATATGAATAATACAGTTGATGAAAAATGATTCCAAACCAAAAAAATTGAATAGAAGAATGTAATTATTTTACATTTTTGTAAATGTAATATTTGGCTTAATATAAGACAGCTGGATTTTCTTATCAGTGTCTGCATTTAATTTGTTGTTATATTTTGTTCTGTTTGAAATACTTGAAAATCCAGTTTCACTGTGATTTTTAGAAACTTGTGATATAGGATTCTACAACAAAACTCAACAAGTGGTAATTGCTTAAAGATTAGTTGTGATGTAGAAACTGAAACTATATATGCTTTTGTGTGATATTGTGTTAGTTGACTGGTCTGTTCTGTACTTTGATTTTTTTCACTCATGTATGACTGAGCTAATGAACTCCCTCAAAGGGTCTCTGGGTTTTCCAGTGTTTCCATACCACATATTGAAAACTGCTGCTTTAATGTAAATAATTGAATAGTTTAGAATTAATGTGGTTACCAAAGCTGAAAGGGATCCTGATAATATGGAAATGAAGTTGTCAAGTAGGTATAACTAAATACTTCCTTTTTATGCTATCACTTCATCAAAATATTAGTAATATTAGTTGTAGCTAATAGTGTTTATAATGGTCCAGAAGCTGTTCATAATGTTTCCATTGTGTTATTTTGTGATGTTAAGTGAAAGGCAAATATAATTTAGCATATTTTTTTTTTAAGATTTATTTATTTGGTACAGGCCAGAGTTGTGGAGGGTGAGAGGATTCACCAGAGACAGAGTGGGAAGCAGAACAGGCAGATCAACAAAGTACACTGCTGAGGGGAGCAGCGGGCTGGTCAGGAGAGGTCTACTGGGGCATGTGAGTTTCCTCCAGGGCAGGCAGGGGATCGAACTCATGCAAAAGTGACTTAAGCTTCTTAGTGCTGTGCTTTCTGCACCACCAGGGAGGGCCCAGTTTAGCATATATTTTTCCTACATGCCGTATAATCTGACATTTTACTTCCATGTATGTAATTATAGTTAATTTTTAGAGGCTATATACTGCTTAATTTCTTTAAAAGGTTTTTGAAGTTAGGGAATATGCTTGTGTCTAGCCTCTATTTCTGTATATTTTGAAATACACAGTTTGAGCCTGTATTATTAGCTCATTAAAACTTGAGTTTTTGTTTTTTTTTTAAAGATTGATTTATTTATGCATACAGAACTGGGTATGGGCCAGAGATGCAGGTGTGCTGAGAGGATTCACCAGAAACAGAGTGGGGAGCAGAACAGGCAGAACTGATGAAGAACACTGCTGAAGGGGAGCAGCGGGTGGGTCAGGAGAGGACGGCGGTGCCATATGGATGCCACTTCATACTGAAGTGGCATTAGCTTCTTAGTGCTGTGCTTTAACCTGCTGTGCCACCAGAGAGGGCCCAAAACTTGAGCTTTTAAATAAAATAAGTAGTAGTTTTAAAGAAGATAATTTTATTAATACGGAAATTTGAAATTTATTGTTTCATTCCACTAAATAAGTTCAGCTAGTATTTGAAAGTTTGCTGTGACTCAGTCACTAAGTGAAATTTTTCTTACAAAGCAAAAACAGGTAATTATCAGAAGTTATCTGGGCTTATTTCTAAAAAATATTAGAATTTCAGACTCAGATTTTTTAGGAATAACTGTGGAGAAGTCCATCCTTAAAGAATACAACTCAGTGTCACAACTGTGACAATTTTAGTATTGTCACAGTAATTGTGCAATCTTTACCATTGTCTAACTTTAGATTATTTTTGTTACTCCCAAAAGAAGCCCCATGTCTCTTAGCAGTCACTTCTCATTTTCTTTCCTCCCCAGCCCTTTACTTCCTTTCTGACTTTATAGATTTGTTTGTTCTGGACATTTTATAAAATGGAAACATACAATATATGACCTTTTGTGTGTGGCTTCTTTCACTTAGTTTAATGTTTTTAAGATTAATTTATGTTGGAAAAGTTATCAGTGCTTAATTCTTTTTTTATCACTGAAAATAATATTATTCCATAATAGATGTATTATGGAATACATCTATCCTCTCATCTCTTAATCCATATGTGTGTTGTACTCTTTGTCTGTTGTGTGTAATGCTCTTTGAACATTTGCCTACAGCTGTAGTGGAGACATGTCCAGATTCACTTTTTGGTTTTCCCAGTAAGGTTTACATGAGTATAAACAATATATGTAGTTTTTTATATTGCAACTGATAAGTATATTCATTTTTATATAAAAGGTTCAAACATTGCAAAACCATAGACATACAGTGTAGATACTCATTCTTTCTAAACAGTTTGCCCTTTCATCACTATCTTTTATCTCATTAGAGTTAACTACTTCTAACTGTGTACTCCTCCCTTTAGTGTTTCCTCTGTTACAGGCTAACTTACCTTTCTTTCAAAGTTATATTTGTGCAGTTTATCTACTTAAAAAATATATATATGGAACACTTCATGAGTTTGCATGTCATCATTCTGCAGGAGCCATACTGATCTTCTACATGTCATTCCAGTTTTGGTATATGTGCTCCTAAAGCAGGCATACCATTTATTTCTAATGACTAAATTCTACATTGGTATTTTACTTTTCTCTAATGGCCATTTGGGCTATTTTTTTATATTCTTGCTAATGTAAATGCTGCTGTTGTCATTACTT